TTTCCACTCACAATTTCCACTTAATAAAATATTTTACAGTTCGCTTTGGTACTATTTTCACAAGCAGCTGTTACATTTTCAAAACTCTTACAACTAATATGACAGCAGATCATCAAAAGTGCACTTTTTTCAAACATTTCAGCATATTTTTCTATTGTCTTAGTACAATACACACGATCAGAAAGTATCCTTTTCACTACACAAAATAAATGTTTAATCTATGTAAATGTTTCATTCGCAGTAACTGCCTTTCATAAAGCTCTTACTATCAAACTTTTAATTTGCATGTTTACTCATTTAGTTTAATACATTTGTCTATTATTTAGTCTAACTCTTCTTAATGGTTAATCAGTGAATCATTTGGTGCATCTATAGACATCTATAGATATAGATTCAATAGACATAGTTTCTAAAGAACTTGTTTGCAATTCAGGGGTAACCAAATGTAATGAATTATTTTTACACTATAAGTGATTTATCTTATCTAGACGATAACCACTAGACTAAGTGTGTGTGTGTGTGTACCTACTTTCTGTAACCATATTTTGGGGACAAATTTGTACCCAAAAGTGAGCTAAACCGGACAAAATATCCAAAAACCTCCCTTTGGAGACATCCTCATTTGTAAAACTGGTATGAAAATAAAGTAAACAAAGTTTTTTTTTAATTGTAAAAATGCAGAAAGTTTTCTGTAAGGGGTAAGTTTAGGTGTAGGGTCGGTGTAGGGCAATAGAATATACAGTTTGTACAGTATAAAAACCATTACGCCTATGGAATGTCCCCATTTAGATAGCTAAGTAAACGTGTGTGTGTGTGTGTGTGTGTGTGTGTGTGTGTGTGTGTGTGTGTGTGTGTGTGTGGTTCAGATAAACCCTATATTATGGGGACAAAATGTCGCCACAAAGATGGCAATATCTGAAATCCTTGTCCTTGTGGGCCCTATGAGAAAAAACATAATTTTTGTTAGGGTAGGTTTAGGAGTAGGGCTATTGTAGGGGAATTGAATATACAGTTTGTACAGTATAAAACCTATTACTCCTATGGAATGTCACCATAATGATAGGAATACCTGTGTGTGTGTGTGTGTGTGTGTGTGTGTGTGTGTGTGTACCTACTTAACCATATTTGGGGGACAAATTGGTACCCAGAAATGAGCAAAACCTGACAAAATTGCTGAAAACCTTCCTTTGAGGATGTCCTCATTTGTAAAACTGTGTGTTTGGCAATTTGTGAACACAGCAGGATACAAGGGAGAGGAACTGATTAGAGATTGATCAGAGATGTATCAGAGGAAGGGAGACAGATGGCATCAAATACAGCATTTTACATTACATTATGCCACGTGATAGTGTGTATAGAGGCATTACCATGGTAGAGTCTGCACATTACTATAACTCACTCTTCATCTGAAAAGTTCAGCTACAGTATAGATTCAGTCATATGGCACAGTGAGGACATTTACTGCATTAACAGTAAACTCTGTTCTAGCACAAAACCTTATGGCCATGGCATACTTTCATCACATCTTTTGATAACAACCCGGATAAATACTTTTACAAACATTATGGATTTTATGTGAGCAATGCAAGTTATGTAATTTGACAGTTATTGCCTGTATTACTGTAATTATTTCAACAACAAAGGTCATTGAAACATGTATCTTGCATTGTTTTCTCTTGAATGAACTGATTGCTAAATGTACAAAACTGAAAGAAGATCATACTGTCGTGTTTTGGAGATCAAATCAAATCAATATGTACAATAATCTTATGTTTTGAAACAATGATTATATTGAATGAAAACATGTTGATTGTAATGAAAGCATGATATCAGTTTTTAAAAGAATGACTAGCGATATTACAAGTTTGGATTTTGTTTTAATTTAATAGCTTTAGCTTATTTTAATGTTTGTTTTGTCTTTATTTTAAATTATATCAAGTCATCTTGAGGCCCTGCCCCCCGATTAAGAACCACTAATGTAGTCAAGTTGATTCAGTCATAATATTAACTGTTGCACTTAAAACCAGTTATTGCAGATATTACCTCATGAAGAACCTCATCCCACTAGGTTCTGAAACAAAGCAGTAATGAAGTCTCCACATTTCAGTGATAAGAGCAGGTTTTTTAATATACTTTAAGGACACAAGTACAAAGAGTGCATTGTTCTCTGAGCATAAGTGGCACACTTACAGTAATGTGTGCTCTCTTACAGGTGTCAGCCTCCCCGTAGATAAACGCTGTCTCGCCGTGATGCCAGTCAATCGTGTGCATCCGCCCCCTTCTGTGCGACCCTCACCGTCGTCATCGTTAACTTATGGATACTGCCACTGCTCTGCACCCCACCATCCCAGATGCAGAGTTGTTATGGTGATGGGGCTTCTGTCAGCACATGGGGGCCTTCCAGTCATCTGTACAGGAAACTCGTGTTGTGCAGCTCTCAACAGAAGAAAAACAACCGAAGACCAAACCTAAAATCTGGGACTGAATTAAACCCTATGGACTTATAATATTATAATATAATAAGATTGTTATTTTATTGTTTTATATTAGTTGTAGTGAAAGTAATATAGTAATAGTAGTGGTAGTACTGGTTTCGCTGACAGCTTTTCCAAGTTTTCCCCTTTTATTTATTAAAATCCACTGAAGTAAAACTGGTGCATTCCATTAATCAATATATTAACAAAGCCATTGTGTATTTGCTCATAAATCCAGAAGGAAGCACAGAACAAAATGTCATCTCTTTAGATTATGTTACTGCTATGCTAAGACTATATTACACTTTAATTTTGTGAAAACCATGTTAGACAATCTTTTCATACATAGTATTTTCTGTTTATGTTCTAAAGCTTCTCTGTGGCTTTAGCCCTCGACTTGAGCATTAAATTGACATACTGACCTCTAGTGGTAATAATAAAAGAATTATGTTCACAATGTGTTCTTCGAATAATACTGATCTGAAAGCCATCCCATTATAATATATATCACTATAATATTTCAACTTTGGCTAAACTAAAAGATTTGATGTGTGCAGTGTGTAAGGACAAAGACTTTGCTCTGAAAGGGCCAGTCAACAGGAACCGAGACGGACGTTCATTACGATTTGAGTGAATGTTGGTGTTTTGTATTATTGTTTTGTCAGTGAAAATGACTGAATTTCCACACTTTGGACTCAGGTCTATAAAGTGGCGGAATTAAACCAAAGAAGCATTATTATCTATGCTGCTGACCCAAAATATAATTACAATAGTTTTCACCAAAGGGCTATTTAATTCCCAATGTATAAAATGTGTTTTTCAAAATATTGTTTATATGTATTAATATTATGCAACTTTACGAGTACCTTTTCGTAATAGAGTGACTATTGTTTGTTTTTTCTGATTATTATTAAAAAATATTTTATAAAACATTTGACATGTGTGTGTGTGTGTGTGTGTGTGTGTGTGTGTGTGTTTGTGTGTGTGTGCATGTTTATGTGGTTTATGAGGACACAAATGTGTATAATAACATGGGTATGACATAGGTATTACAACGAGAAGGTGATTTATGAGGACATTTTCAGTGTCCCCGTAATTCAAAAGGCTTATAAATAATTCAGAATGAGTTTTTTTGAAAATCTAAAAATGCAGAAAGTTTCCTGTAAGGGGTAGGTTTAGGGGTAGGGTTGGTGTAGGGCAATAGAAAATACAGTTTGTACAGTATAAAAACCATTACGCCTATGGAGAGTCCCAATAAACCATAAAAACAAACCTGTTTGTGTGTGTGTGTGTGTGTGTGTGTGTGTGTGTGTGTGTGTGTGTTTGTGTGTGTGTATGTGTGTGTGTGTGTTTGTTTGTGTGTGTGTGTGTGTGTGTGTGTGTGTGTGTGTGATTTTGATCAAAGACTGGAATAGGTTGCTATATATGATTTATGTCATTTATATATATACAAAGTATATATTAATTTACTAAAGTTTCACTTTATTAATTGCACGATGTCACACAATTAACATAAATATTAAATATTAGAGTTAACATAAATCTGATTTAAAATAAGGTTTCAAATGTAGTTTAAGATCAGTTTAATAATATGTCCCATTTGATTTCAGTTACATGCAGTAAATGAAAGCATACGTGTTTATTTCAAGGGGAATTGGATCTAGTCTAGTGCCGTGTTCTTCATATAGTCAAGAAATTCAATAAAACATTCAGTAAACGCGATAAAATATTTTTAGAATGATCTTTGCGTTTCTTGGGTTTTAATCTTTTCACATTCCAATTGATTTGACGTATCTGATTTCAGTTTTAATGCAATATACTGTATATTTTGGCAATGAGTAATAGAATTGATGTCGTTTTTTGGAGCATGACTCTTCCCGAGGTTGGAGTTAGTGAAGTTACCCAAGACACTTTTCTGGGCCTGTTGGGATGGCAATTCTGTGGTTGCTGCAACTGGCCAAAAGCCATGTACTTTAGGGCATGACCATGTGGAAATACATTTGTGTTTAATATTTCCATTGACTCAGAAAGACAAGATCTTAAGGATCGGTTAAGATATGTAGTGGTGAATTCAGGGCCACCTGGACACATGATCGCCATGCAAAAAGAAGGATCACCTAATATTTCTAAATAAATGGGCATTTTTACATTTTATAGCATCTGTGGACATAATAATAATAATAATTGGCGTTACCAATATTTATTTATTTGAATTGTGATAAGCAAACTTTTTGCGTGCAAAACACAAACCACAACAGTGTTGTTTGTTGCGTGGCTTTCATTCTTCGCATTACTTTTTTTATGCATTGAAAATGATGGGATGCAGGGGATGACGCTGCAGCGCGTGCTAGACTCACTCTTGTCTCTGCAGTGCAGGTTTCACGCCACACTTCAGAGTCACGTTTACAGTCGCAAGGGTTCATCTCTGCACCAATCAGAAGGCGATATGGAAATATAAGGCGTGTCTTGCATTGTTAAGCAAGAGACGATTCGGCGGTTCCCCTGGCAACAGCCATTTAAGCCAGTCGTGAAGGCGGAGCTGTTTGTAAACTCACGTTGCTCTCAGGGCAGTCCAGTTTCCACAACAACAGAAGTATAAGCTTAGTTTTCACTCGTTAAGCGTCGTTTTACACACGAGCCTTAACAAGAGAGGGAGTTTGAGGAGAATTGTTCTCGGTGAGTATTGGAAAACGTGCATTGTGTGCTGTGGTGTGTGTTATGGAGAGTCTCGTGTTTGGCGTCGTGTATCAGGCTCCGTTCATACTGTATGCATAAACTATTCGATACGAGATCTACACCAAGGTGCTGCTCTGGTTGTCAAGCTGTATTTTAAGATGTTGAGATGGTTTTTTTAATTCTGTATGGGGGTGCATTAAGGTCATAGCTTATATTCGTGGACTTGTTTACTTGTTTTCATGGCACTCTCCAGTCCCTGCTTCTCTGATGCATTCGTGGGCTGTTTATTTACCATGAGAAACTTTGTTTAGTAATATTTGGTAATTTATGATAAAGTGTTTGTTTGTTTATAAAACCTATATAAGCCCTGTATTTGGTCTTTAAGTGAGTTTAAGTGCCAGGAGCTGCATTTCATTGGCTTGAGTCATAAATGTGCTCCTGTTACACTAGACTATCATCTCTCAGGGTTTTGACTTTCCTTTATTTAATCCGTGCCTCTGTCCTGCTCTCAGTCATTGCCTGGATCAGGGCTGTACAGATGGACTGAAATCCAACAAATCGGACCACCAGAGAAGATCCAACATGGGCAACAAACGGAAAGCCTCCAGTGAGCTCGACAGAGATTCAGGTTTGTAGATTTCCTAGCTTTCCTAGTTTCCAAATGCTGCAGTACCATTATAACTAATCCCCTATTACGTATTATATTTATACAATATTGTGTATAATTACGTTGTTATAGGTATATAACTGCACATAATTACTGGGATTTACCCTTACAACATTTTCTCACTGTAGATGCCAGCTCAGGATATTTTAGTGCTTTGGACCAGACCGACTTTGAAGACATGGGACCAACCAGTACTGCAGCACAACGCATGCCAACAGCTCCTCGGGTGCCTTTCATTCCTGGCTCACATCCAGGCGTCTCTCCCATGATCGTAATGAACAACCTCGTTCTCAAGCAGGTATGACACATTAATACAATTCTGTAAGTGTCCTTGTGTCCGTATGTGGCTTTTCTGGAAAAGCTTTAGCTCATGACACACATCTGTTTGTTACGGTATTGTTTTGGTCTCAAAGCTACATTTTTTAAATATGTTGGTAGTTACAGCTCATTACTGCCATTTGCCTTGTGATTCTTGGATTGAATACTTTCCAATGCTTGCTGCTCAGCATCTTCAGCTCACGAAATATTAACTAACAATAAGCTGATTAATTAAACTGATCAACAAGGATTTATGTACTTTTAAATTACTCAAAGTAATTCGACTAACTGAAGTAGGCAAGAAAAATAGTCATTTATTAATATACTGTAAAAGGCATCTGAATTGCCCTTTAAAGCAAGTTTACCGTTTAAGTTTAAAGTGGAGATATTGATAAAAGGGGAGATATTTCACAACATGGTTTCTTTACGGAACCTAATTAATTTATTGGTGTGGATAATTAAATGTTTCCATGGTACACAATAGTAGACAGGCTTTGCCTAGGCTCTTATTGCCTCTTGTGTGTACAGTCGTTTTCCATACACACAAGATGTGATATAAATGCACATTTCATGCCTGCTGCTGCTTCTTATCAGAGCTAGCAAGCGAAAACATGCTGCATAAATGAATGAGGCGATTACTATAAATATTGTTTTATAAATATTGCAGCTGGGTCAATGACATAAGGGTATCCACAATGAAGAATCTAGTCATACACTATATAAAAAAAATGTACTGTGTCTGTTTTTCAAAATTGTTAATTGATCATTCTTGTTTCAGCCTAACTCTGTGGCCCCTGCACTAAAACCTTGGCGCTTAAACACTTCACTAGATGTGGTTCCTCAGTCCCAGCTGCTTTTCCTACAGCCAGTCATGCCAGCTGGTGACTGTACTGGCCGAAGTTCTGACAAGCAGAAACATTCCAGAAAGCATGTTCCCATGCAAAACACCTTTCAAAAAATTGGCCCCCATCTTGCACAAGGGTCTACAGTCGACGAGGGTTCCAGTGCTATAAATAAGAGGTCCAACCACTGTCATGGTGTAAGACATCAACAACGCCGTTACGATGATAAACCTTTCCACAGTTCCTCTTTGAAGCAGGATGTGTCTGAGACATTTAAAGATTACGGTGTAGACCCCAACATTGCTTCACTGGGAGAATTTGGTCACACTGTTGAAGACATGGGTGTGGAAAACTCCTCATCCAGGCTTTCTGACCTTCAGGAGCCCCACACCACCACTTCACTATTCTCACTTTGCACTGACTCCTTCCTTGCTTCATTCCCTCCAAAGAGTCCCGAAGCTTCAGTCACCCAGAGCAGTGATGTGGAGAATATCCCAGAGGCCCTTTCTCCAAGCTCCAGCAAACGCAAACGCTTCTGCAACACGTATAACATTTTGAATCGGTCAGGACTGCTGGGTATCACACTGCGCACAAAGGAACTTATTCGACAAAATAAACGATCCCAGGCCCAACTTCAGAGTCTGCAGGCTCAGACTGACCTCTTCTTGGAGGCCATATGTAGTGGAGATCCCAAAGTCTGGACGAGATTGCAGCTTATCCTCCAGAAATCCAGAAACAGTGAAGAGACGCCAGTGGACACACTGGTGGACTCTGTAAGGGGTGCAGAGTAGGATATGACAGACGTGGGTTGTATGGTGTAGTAGCAGCTTCAGATCTTAAAATTTCAGCTGTTGTATTCTGCGGTTTTTGCCACCTTTGCTTAGACCTTTTAAAGTTTGGCACATTTCTAATTGGTTGCTTAGTAAATTTTCAACGCCTTGTCATAATATCAGTTGGAAACGTCAAAGATTTAAGTCTTCAATAGAGTCCAGAGATCTAGTTATCACTCCAAGTGTTATCTATCCAACATCATTCTTATTCTTGTGGTTTTGTCCAAAGTATATAAAGACCATGTTTAGGTTAAAACTGCTTCTTTTTCAGAATAAATTGATTCAGTGATTCAGAATTTATTAGCAGTGTAGTCTCGATTTAAAAAAGAATGCTATTAACCATTCTTTTATCTCAATCTAATTGGTTATTATTCGGAAAGGAGGCCTTGGAACACTGGAATGTAAAAATAAGTTTTGCTCAGAATGAATCAAAATGGAAAAGAGTTCATTTCTAATCTCTGTATCTAATAAATGCCTTTGACAAAGATTTGAGTACTTAAGTGCACTATTCCCAATTTGTTTTAAATTCAGTTGAAAATGTGAAATTCAGGATCATCTTTGTGAAAATTTGTAAACGTGTTTGTAATAAACATTATTTGTATGTGTATAATGTGTTCTGAAATGCATCTCCAAGTAAATGTTCTTGTTATTTATGAGAAAGACCAATGGACGTTAAGGGTAAGAGTACTAATAACAATTTGTGCTGGTCAGTGTTTTTGAAGTAGCATTTCAACAGTGGTTGTTATTTGTAATGCCTTGTATCATATTATTGAGTTGTTTACATTCTTAAAGATTTGGATGTGAATGATCAAATTGGCAAATGTACTGCTGTACACATCGTGTTGATTTATCGGAACCCATTACTGAACTACATATTTTTGCTGTAGAAATCTATGCAATAGTCTTGTTTAGTATTAGCATTGTACTGAAGTGCTGTTTTGTATTCTGTAGGTGTCATTTGACTTTTTATGTGCCTTCAAAAATAAAGGCTTTTTAAATATAACATTTAAAATATTTTTAAAACTATGCCCTGGTTATTACAGTTTGAACAATAATTTGTTCAGTGAATCATGGTTTAATGTGTTTTAAGTTTGAAGGAGGTCTCCAAGAAAAAAACAAAAAAAAATACTTAAAGTTGTGTTTTGAAGTCATTTTATATGAGATTTGGTGGTAACCTAATTAGTTACAAATAAATAAAGCACAGAAAATACTATATTCTTCAACAGAAAATGCATGTTCATTATCATTGCACGCCATATTTTTCATGTATCTAATACAGAAACGTATTAATACAGAAATGTATTAATTCACAACAGTATAACAACTAAATAGGTGTTGGAAAAATTATATGAAAATAACATTTTAGCTGTGCTAGTGTAATTGGCAATGCAAATGGAAACGTCAGCTTATAAATAACTAAACATAGTCAACTGATCCAGTCAAGATGGACGTGAAGAGTTAAGATGTTTTGATAAGATGCTCAATTCAACTGCAGAGAAAGGATGTTGAGGGCCATTGCTGAGCGGAGCAATCGTAAGTGTGCACTTATAATAAATGAAACACTGGCATGAAACTTAAAGGGATAGTTCACTCAAAAATTATAATTTGATGTTTATCTGCTTACCCCCAGGGCATCCAAGATGTAGGTGACTTTGTTTCTTCAGTAGAACACAAATGATGATTTTTAACTCCAACCGTTGCAGTCTGTCAGTCGTATAATGCATGGCAATGGTAACAAAATCTATGAGAGTAAAAAAAACATGCACAGACAAATCCAAATTAAACCCTGCGGCTCGCAACGACACATTGATCTCCTAAGACACAAAACGATCGGTTTGTGCAAGAAACCGAACAGTATATAATTTTTTACCTCTAATACACCAGTATGTCCAACTGCCTTGAGTGCGTGCACGGCATCCGGTGCGTGAGGTGTGTACGCGCTCTGGCGTAGTTTACGCAAGCGCCGGAAGTGATCTCTCACGCGCATACATCACTCATTGCAGTGTGACCCTCCTTTATTACTAACTATTTTGACCATGTTGGAGTGCACAGAAAAAATAAGCACACAATTACTTCTTGGTTTGATCATGCTGTAAATCAGCATTTATTTTGCTAATCTGTCCTTCAGTGGAAATGCAAAAATAAATTTTATTATAGCACCAAACTCAAAATGCTTTCTGCAGGCCTAAACCACAAAATACCTGCCATTTAAGTAACAGAAAATGATCTTCCAATCAAGTGTAGTAAAATAATGTTTTGATGGTATCAATTACATGTGTGCTGTTCATAAATGAATTGAAAATGAAAGCCTGGTCTAGTATCAGAAATTTGTTTAAATGAACAGGGAGCAAACAGGATGAATTGAAATTTCAGAAATGTGAAACTTGAATGGAAGTGGTATCAAAAAGTTCATATAGCTGTAATGTTTAAATAGAAATGCAAAGTATGTGAAGACATACACTACCATTCAAAGTCTCCAACTAAGCATCAAAAATACTGTAGAAACAGTCATATTATGAAAATATTACAGTTTAAAATAACTTCATATTACCAATGTTGAAAATAGTTGTGATGCTTAATATTTGTGTAAACCATTAGGATGATGAATATAAAGGTTAAATGAACAGCGGTTATTTAAAGTAGAAATCTTTTGTTGCATTCTAAATGTCTTTACTGTCACTTTTGATCAATTTAATGCATTCTTGTTAAATAAAAGTACTAAAAGAAACCGAGCCAAAATTATTTATTTCATTTATTATTTATGCATTACCTATGTTGATTTTTTTTAATTGCAGTTCAGTAAATTTCAATTTAAATGACATTTTACCTTCCTGTGGCATGTGGCCAATTCAAATTCTAACTAACCTAAATGTTACCCACATTTTAGCAGGCTACTTGTGTAATAGTGTGCTGATTAACTAGTGTGCGTTGTTTTGTAAATACCCTTCCATCCTTTAATCCTGGCCTCCTTCTCTGATGTTACCGCTGCGAATCACTGCTGCCCTGAACTAGGCTGAAATTGAGTTTCAGTTTACAGTGATGACAGACATAGATATGGGTTTTACCCCACCTTTGTGACATAACGCTCTCCTAATTTGCGCAGCGATGACCGAAATCCACTAAAAATGTAGATCAGTTGTGTGGGCTAATACAACTCGAGTGAACTGGAGCCCTTATCATATTTAATAACAGTTCCACTCAGGCCAACTTATGATAAACACACTGATAAGGCACGTTCTTGGCTTTTCAGTCATGTTTGTGATCATGGTAGACCTGCCAGTTCCCAGGTACGGTCTCAACAGTCTGAACTGGCAGGAAAAGGCCCAGAGCCCAACGGGAACCGAAAACATCAGTGAGGTTGGCACGCCAGGTCCCGCGAACCTCTGACAACCACCCTTTTTGCAGCTCACACCAGGTTTGCCCTCGGGCTACTAGTAGAAGCTGTTGACAGCAGAAACCGGCGCTCACTAGTCCGATACCCAGCCAGACGTATAGCATTATAACCAGAAAGAACTGGAGACCTGAAATCAAACCTGAGGGAAGAAAAAGAAAGCATGTTCTTATCCAGGATATTTGAAGCAGGAAAGCCTCAAGAAAGACTGATTTAAACTTACCGAGGAAGAAGTAACCTGTCGAGAGTGGCAGAAGAGTGAGGAACGTCAGTGGGTTCTCAAAGGAAATGGAGTATTCTATCGTAAGATACGCCACCCCAATTACCAGTGAATACAGACAACAGCAGGATGTATAGATGCTGAACATAATAAAGTAGCGCATGTTCCTGTTCCCAATACAGTTTCCTGTGAAAAAGCAGTGGTGGTCCCGTTTTAGAATCACTTTCTTGCACACTTTGCAGAAGTGACGTCCATTCAGGAGGTAGTGGGCATCAATTCGGTCCGGGCAGTCGGGTGAACAGACTGGAATAACTGTCTCGTTGGCATTCTCAGATGGGTAGCATATAGTCATCGTGTAATTGCCCAGCGCGTTCCCCATGAGGAAGAGAAAGACGGCAATGTGGACCAGCATGGTGGGATTTCGCTCCACATCTGGACTTCGGAAAACAGTGGGCATGAAGAGGAGGAAGTGGAGGGCGAATGTGACCACGGTTGCAGTGTAGAAGTATGCAGGTGCAATCATATTGAGTAGTCTGAGTTTTACCATCCTGAACAACATGCCTGTGTTAGATTAATAAAAAAATGTCTTAATTCAGAAAATGTATTTAACTGAAGATGATAAAATCATACATTTCGTCTTGGCTTTAGCAGTTTATCCATATGAAAAATAACACTACTTGAATGAAAATTATGAAAGAAAGTCATTGGCATACTGTAAACTTAATTTATACTTTATGATGCTTTAAATACACATATTTTTAAAATAAAAAATACATGGATAGTTTTCACTGTCTGTCAATAAAGAATTATACTGTGCCAACAAGTATCAAGCAAGTTCAAACGAAATTAACTGGAATGGTGCTCACATAATTGCATGTCTTCAGAGAAAAATAATAATTTGGAAATAATTATTATTTTTGAAATTTCATAAGTAAATAAGGAGAGGTGTGAAATTTGTGCTCCAGTAGAGAGCCAGACAAAATTTCAGAAATAATCCATGTTTCAAACATGTTTCCTAAATACACCCCCGCCTTCCATTGGTCAGCAAATCAGATAGTCCCGCCCCCAACTCACGCCATTGGTTGAGACCATGTTGCTAAGTAGGACTAAACAAAAAATAAGCAACGTTGAAAGCCACAGTGTTTACACTTTTATATCCAGGAATACATTCATGTATCTTAAAAGTCTCTGCACATTAAACTGTGACCGGAAAAAGTATTTTAAAGGGGTAATATGATGCTTTTTTAAAGATCATTATTTTGTGTATTTGGTGTAACAGAATATGTTGACATGCAGAAAGGAAAACTTGAAATCGCATCATATGACCCCTTTAACATAGAAGACATATATACAGTATATAGGCCTGTGTGTGTCCATACTGTACATACATCAATCAGGAAACAGACACATAACCCTATCGCTCAGATATAACATTTTTAATTGCACACATTGTTACACAGAGCAGAACAGAATTGGCATCCTTTAGGATTTAAATATAAATGGCATGTTTTTATAAGTAATAATGACGCTAAAATGCATCATATTTTCAGACAATGGAGTGAGAAAAGATGTGATGAACCGTATGGATGCATTTCAGTAAATATACCCTAAAAAACCCCCGCAGAGGTCTAATATGTATCAAAACTTAAATTATAATACAAACTAACAGCAGGCAGGGTTCGTGATGAATAGATTAAGGAACTATAAAGCCTAAAGCACCATATCTGTTTTGAAACAGAGGCTTATTGTAGAAGAGGATGAAGACATTGCTGGGTTATTACCTGACTCCGGCTAGACCAGAAGAGTATCCTCCGCACAGAAGCGCATCCCTCGCTCACGGTGCTAGAAGATAAACCACAAATAATTCATTGAGAAAAAGCAAATCAGTGTTACACAGAGCAGAACAGAATTGGCATCCTTTAGGATTTAAATATAAATGGCATGTTTTTATAAGTAATAATGACGCTAAAATGCATCATATTTTCAGACAATGGAGTGAGAAAAGATGTGATGAACCGTATGGATGCATTTCAGTAAATATACCCTAAAAAACCCCCGCAGAGGTCTAATATGTATCAAAACTTAAATTATAATAAAAACTAACAGCAGGCAGGGTTCGTGATGAATAGATTAAGGAACTATAAAGCCTAAAGCACCATATCTGTTTTGAAACAGAGGCTTATTGTTGAAGAGGATGAAGACATTGCTGGGTTATTACCTGACTCCGGCTAGACCAGAAGAGTATCCTCCGCACAGAAGCGCATCCCTCGCTCACGGTGCTAGAAGATAAACCACAAATAATTCATTGAGAAAAAGCAAATCAGGTTTAATTTCCTAATACTGAGCGCATCTGTTCGCGATGTGTCTCAGTACTTTAGCACCGCCTGTTGGTGTGGATACAGCATCCAGCTCCTCTAGAAATAAGAAAAACAGACAAGCCTATATATATCTACACTTGTTATATGGATATGTTTGTGTGTTAAATTATTGTTGTGTGTGGCTATGTGATTTTATATCTATATTGTACACAATGTGCACGTTGACTCATTAATATGGACGGATGACACGCACTTGCAACTTTCACCAGCAGATGGCTGTGCAAATCAACGCTTATTTTATACGTTTATTTAATTATTTTTGCAGCGATTTATACATATAAAATCATGCCTTAAGACAAAGTTAGCATTCCATGATGTGGGTCATGCCAACAATCTGGTATCTGTAATAATCAGAAACATAGAGTCAAACATTTTTCGTTTTCGTGTTTGTTGATGGCTTGTCACTTTACACACGGTCCCTAAGCGGATGGGCGCTCCCCGTGTGCGCTGGTGCTGATGCAGACAGACAGAAGCATCTAACCGGACATAAACCACAGGAGGTGTTTGAAAGGTAAGCCGCATTATTGTTATATTAACCTCGCTTCTGATGAACTATTCTCAGTTATATCATACAAGAAACGATTCAACAAACAACTCAGGGATTTATTATGAACTTCAACTTTAAGCTTTTAAAAGTGGGCGTTTTGACAGTTGTAGACATTGGGTTTAAAACGCTATTGCAGCAGAGACCTATGCTTGGGTGCTAAACACAGAGGAGGGGTGATACTTAAATAACTGAACTGGAAATACTATGGGCATATTGATGGCATAAGAATGGCTTGGCTTGTTTGTTTGCCGTCTCATATACAACATCTCCAGGAGCCCCGCTGTTTTATTGTGCCAGGGGAGTGCGCACGTTGTGCATTCATTGTGAGATCCTAATATTATCTTCTTAAAGTTATGGTTGCTCTGCTGCTGCTGCTGCTGATAATGGCTGTATTAGTCCTCACATGCTGACAGCAGGGAGTTTAATGTCTGTGCGCGTTACAAATCAGAGGATGGGGGCGGATAGATTTCTCCACGCTGTTGCCAAGAAGCTGTGATGATGCTCAGGCAGATCATCGTAATAACTTTCACAATTAGAAATGTAGTCTCTAATCATCCCTTTGAGAATCAAACATTACTTTAACAGGTAGAGGAGGAAACTCTGGTCATATCAACACAAAATCCAAAGAATCATTATGCAAAATACTTTAATAAAAAAATCATTAGTAATATTTTAAATGATTGTAATCTATTTTTTTGTATTATATTATATGGTATTATATAACGATTATTGTATATAATACTTATTTAATTTTTAATATAGTTAAAAGTGGTTTATATAGGTAAATTCAGGTTGAGTGGGACACTTTGCGCCATTGAAATGTCTAGCAAGTGTCCAAATCAACCAGAATTCACCCCTCAGAAATGTATTAGATTTAAATATAGGGTAATATCGTCGTGTACCTCCTTTAATTTATACCACTATAAATAAAAAAAGTGATACAGTAACAAAAACACTGCTTTAGAGTCATGAAAATCTACTGAGAATAATAACTGTGATTAAAAGTAATTAATTAAAAATACCTCAATAAAATGTCTAAATGCAATAAACCATCCAAACGAGAATGAAAATTTGGGGAGGATCAGGATGTGTGTTAATTGTTATGAAAATGATGTTAAAATGCACAACATCCTTTAATGTTTCTAAAAAATAGTCTTCATCTTCTACATCCATTTATTGATTTTTTTATTAGATTTTTTTAAATTGACATTTTTGTTCATTTCAGCTGCAACCGCGCAACCATAAAGAATTCATGGATGAATAATAACATATTGTAACATTGTGTTATCAAGAGGTTTTTCAGTACCCAGCATGCTTTGTGTGAGCCTAAAGGGGATGAATAAAAGTATAGACAGCTGAGTGTTATTTTATGTGTTTTTGAGCAATATGAGCAGGGGGAAATGCTTAATGTTCTGTTGTGCTGCCATTTAGAAAGGACTCTGTTTTTCGTTGTTGTCTTTTTTTGAGTTTGCTACTGTAGAATTTTAGGGTTTACTGGGGTGAAGAGTGAAGTTTGTGCTCTGTTCAGAGTGGACTAATGTATGCTAACACTGGCTTTTCTTAGTAAACTTCAATACTACAAGGTCTCCTTTGCCTTGCACCACCCACCTGCATCCTTGGATACAATATCTGCTAATCTAACAGGACAAACCAGAACCATGCTTGTTACCAGCAAAACAAAGATGAGAAAGCTGTTTGACTGAAGTGCTAATGAATCAGCAGGCTGTTACTGGTTAAGCCAGTCAGCTAACATGGTTTTACAGCTTTATTCCATTTGCTAACCAGGTGTGACACAGCAATAAAATCAGTCTTCAGTGCAAATCAGATCTTTTATCAGTTTTTTTGTGCCACGACAGCAACAGGACATCTATCCCATTCCAGATTTTAAAAAATGAAGCAATAAAAAAAGCAGATAAGGAAAAAGGTGGAAACAAACCTGCACACCAGGATACAAAACACAACACACATCGGCAAACAACAATGCTAGTATTGATTACCTTTAAAACAGATAACAACCTCATCACCAGTTATGCTTTTTTTTTGTTCTGTGGCATTTGCAAAGCTCGTTGCGCTTTCGGAAGTAATCTGTAAATGAATGGTTCTCCCAACGAGTGAGAGATATTCATCAAAGGCCAGTGTCCATCTGACTATAAAGGATAAGACACAGTTATGGCACCAGTTTTCTAGTCGCTAGTCAGATTTTCCATCTGCTTTAGATATAAATGGAGCATCTTTGAATGATATTCAGCGATGCATGATTACCAAACTGACTATATAAAGCAATTAATAGTAGTTGAAATGTCACTGCACTTGTGACAGAATGTTGATTGAAGCTCATAATTGGATAATAAATAAATCATCAGAACGTACACCTGCTCTTGGCTGATGTCTCTTTCGGCTGCTAATCCTTACTAATCTTATTAAAGTAGAAATGTTAGTGACACTTTGCTGGAAATGGTTTTAGTTTTGCCAGTTGAATCAGAGGGCTGAAAACTTAGAGAAAACATCTCCAGGTTACGTATGTAACCATGGTTCCCCGAAGGGAACGAGATGCTGCGTCGGCAACGCTATGGGAACACTCCCACAGTGTGACCACACTCTGAATCACATGTGTAATCAGTCCAATGGAAGGGCGAGACATCATAGGTGGGTGACGTAGCGACCAGGAAGCAATAAAAGCATGTGAGGTGGAACCGGCGTCAGCTTCTAGGAAATATGGCCCTGAGACGCAGCGTCTCGTTCCCTTCGGGGAACCATGGTTACATACATAACCTGGAGATGTTCCCCTTCAGGAACTCTGAGAATGCCTATGCCGCCAGACTTGCAAATCCCTGTCTAGTGTGGAAGAGCACAGCTAAGACGAGAGAATAGAAGAGCCAGGAGTGGCTCGCATATCTAAGTCATAGAATCTGACAAATGTGAGGGGTGAGGATCATCCCGCTGCGTTGCAAATGTCTTGCATAGACACACATGCTAAGAAGGCCTTGGAGGCCGCCATACCTCGGGTCGAATGAGCCTTGAACCCCAAAGGCGAGGGGAGATCAGAGGACTCGTAGGCAATAGTAATGGCATCAACTATCCACCGACTGAGGGTCTGCTTCGTAGCAGGGAGACCCCTATTAGGGGGACCATAGCATACAAGCAGTTGGTAGCAGTTGCTTGCACTGGACACGTGCAGTTAAGCTTTTGCTGGTCAGGCTCCCTAAAGGGGGGAGGACAAAAGGCCTGTAGCACGATAGGCTGTGGTGTAACAGAGGGAACCTTAGGGACATACCCCGCACGAGGGTAGAGAAACACTTTGGCCAAACGTGTAACTAGGGGGTGTCTGCCCACTGACTGGCCACCGAGAGGGGCGTGGTAGGGTGCAATGGCCGCCATGTAGACCTTCAGGGTGGAGTGGGTCAACCCTGCAGAGAGACGAGCCTGCAGGAACTCCAGTACTGTACCAACCGGGCAGTTAACTGGGTCCAGCTGGCGATCTCCGCACCAAGAAGTGAAAAGTTTCCACTGCAAGGCATACAGTTTCCTCGTAGAGGGAGCTCTGGATTGGAGGATGGTCTCAACAACCTCGGTTGAGAGACCGGAAGCTACGAGTTGTGCCCCCTCAGAGGCCACACCCGTAACTTCCACAGCTCTGGTTCTCTCTGACTCATCCAGCTCCACTGGGGCTGGATGCCATGGTACAGACGTGGTCAAGGCTTCGTCTGTATGCCTTTCCCCACGATCGCTCTGCTCCCGGGAGTTCTGAAGAGAGTGCACCGGGAAGGGGTCCGTCTGCTGCTAGTAGCTCCATTCTGGCCTGGCCGAGTATAGTTCTCGGACCTGATTTCCTTTCTCGATAGCTCTCCATGGGAGATTCCCGTCAGGAGGGATCTCCTCTCAGAGGCGAAGGGTACGATTCTCCACCCCTGCCCGGAGCTGTGGAAGTTACGGGTGTGGCCTCTGAGGGGGCACTACTCGTAGCTTCCGGTCTCTCAACCGAGGTTGTTGAGACCATCCTCCAATCCAGAGCTCCCTCTACGAGGAAACTGTATGCCTTGAAGTGGAAACTTTTCACTTCTTGGTGCGGAGATCGCCAGCTGGACCCAGTTAACTGCCCGGTTGGTACAGTACTGGAGTTCCTGCAGGCTCGTCTCTCTGCAGGGTTGACCCACTCCACCCTGAAGGTCTACATGGCGGCCATTGCACCCTACCACGCCCCTCTCGGTGGCCAGTCAGTGGGCAGACACCCCCTAGTTACACGTTTGGCCAAAGTGTTTCTCTACCCTCGTGCGGGGTATGTCCCTAAGGTTCCCTCTGTTACACCACAGCCTATCGTGCTACAGGCCTTTTGTCCTCCCCCCTTTAGGGAGCCTGACCAGCAAAAGCTTAACTGCACGTGTCCAGTGCAAGCAACTGCTACCAACTGCTTGTATGCTATGGTCCCCCTAATAGGGGTCTCCCTGCTACGAAGCAGACCCTCAGTCGGTGGATAGTTGATGCCATTACTATTGCCTACGAGTCCTCTGATCTCCCCTCGCCTTTGGGGTTCAAGGCTCATTCGACCCGAGGTATGGCGGCCTCCAAGGCCTTCTTAGCATGTGTGTCTATGCAAGACATTTGCAACGCAGCGGGATGATCCTCACCCCTCACATTTGTCAGATTCTATGACTTAGATATGCGAGCCACTCCTGGCTCTTCTATTCTCTCGTCTTAGCTGTGCTCTTCCACACTAGACAGGGATTTGCAAGTCTGGCGGCATAGGCATTCTCAGAGTTCCTGAAGGGGAACATCTCCAGGTTATGTATGTAACCATGGTTCCCCGAAGGGAACGAGACGCTGCGTCTCAGGGCCATATTTCCTAGAAGCTGACGCCGGTTCCACCTCACATGCTTTTATTGCTTCCTGGTCGCTACGTCACCCACCTATGATGTCTCGCCCTTCCATTGGACTGATTACACATGTGATTCAGAGCGTGGTCACGC